TTTGTTAACATCATTGGATCCATAGTGTTGAGTTTAACTCCATAAAAATGGATGAATGATTTTAATAATAGTTTGATTAAATTTTTAATTCAAAAGTGGTTTATCTTTTTCCCTAATCCTCTTCATCTCATCCCCTTCTCATTGCACTAAATGTTGTTGGAGCATGATCTCTATATCATGTCTCAAAATAAATGGTGCATAGATTTCTATTGACCGACCTCAAAATAGGTGCAACTTCTATATAAGTCCACTTACGATTGCTTAACATAGCGCTAAATTTTGTCCCTGTTCGAATAAATGATCATTCGTGGCCCAAACTTATGATTGCAAGCCCAAGTATGTTAATTTGATCTCTTTGATCCAATAACCCTGAAATTCATTGTGTGGAGGCTTTGGTTCTACCAATCCTCTAATGGATCTATAATACCTTTGGTCAACGCGGATCACTTAAACATCGTTGATCATTAAATGGTACTTATGAGAATTCCAAATGGATGATATACTTGACAAAAAGCAAATGCAACTTGTTGTGTGGATGCTTTGGTTCTACCAATCCTCTAATGAGTTCCAAATGCAAGTTTCAAGATGGTCATCCAACTAATCACTAATTATTGACTTGTTTATTCTATGCTTTTATTCTTTTATGCTTTATGTACTATTTTTTTTTTTAGCATTTTCCATTTCATTTTATTTTCATTTTTTCTCATTTGAGCATTTATCTTCTTGCCATTTTTATTTTGATCACTTGAGCTTTTATTTTTCTTTTCCTAAGATACTTAATAACCAACATAAACCCTAAAAAACTCTTAATGGTACTTGGACGATTTGGTTACTATCCTTGGCATTATGGAGCATGGGACTTTTTCTTGGACTTAGGATTAGAAACTGTGACCTATCTTGGAGACCTTGTGACCTTATCTGATTATTTTGTCTGAAGCTCTTGAGGTTTACCTCAAGACATTAGGTTGCTTGTTTGTTTTTGTGTGCAGGTTTTTGTGATTACACTCTTTGTTTGTAATCTGGAATTCACCAGTATACAGTCGTTACTCTGCCCAATTTTTGTGAAGACTTAATGCATTTGAAGAGGTCTAATATCTTTGCTTGCTTGGTTTCAATCCAAAGAATGGGAATTTTATCTTGGCTCATAATGTCAAGTTTTTGGCTTCTTGTTGGTTAGATGGTCCTTATCCTTAACTTTTACCTTATGCTTTAGGATAGCCTCTTCTACTCCTCCCATCTTCTTTAATTTCAAAAATCTTCTCCCTCCTTTTGAAAACTCTTCTTGTTTTGAAACTTGAAACACTTTCATAAAAAACTTGGACTTAAGTCCATGCATTTTCAAATTATTTTCATCAATAAACTTCAATCAATTTAATAATACTTTGACACTTTTTGTGAGAAGACTAAAAGTAAATTAATCTCATTTCAAACCATTTTGTCACTTTGGCTTTTTATCTTTAAACTTTTCTCAAAAGATTAGACTCTTGTCAATCCTTGTAGTGACGCAAACAACTATACTTCTACAATATATAGTGAAGAGAGATATTTTCCACTTGGGTGTTGAGTGAGGCATTGTTGATTTTAAAATCCAAGTCATATCCTCCACTTTGAGATGGTGCAAGTTCTCCTTTCTCGTGATTCTGCGTAGTAAGAATGTTTTCCACACGGACAGTGAGGATGATGTCTTATCTCATAAAATTAACTAACACACTTGTGTTTCAAATTTTTAAAAGAGGAACTACGTGTACCCTGATCCCCTATTGCACGAAAGGTGGTACGTAAGCACTAAAGGTTCGCAACCGCGGAGGGTGCAAAAATCATAATATATATATATATATATATATATATATATATATATATATATATATATATATATATATATATATATATATATATATATATATATATATCTTTTCTCACCTCCGCCATCCATTTTATATACAACACATTTTATATAGCTAAAATATACAGATTTTTTCAAAGAGGTTCCTGCAGAGTACCGTAGATGTTTAGGGTGCTAATACCTTCCCTTTGCATAACCAACCCCCTTACCTTGAATCTTTCCCCCTTTTTTTGGGTTATTCGCTCTTTTCCCATTCCTTTTGAAACAATAAAGCGCGGTGGCGATTTTTTTAATTTTTGATTTGTATAAAGTCTAGTCAATCTAATGGCTTAGTCTTGAACATTTCTACCGCTACAGTATACAAGTCTTGTTTTTTTCTGCCTCTGAAGACTTCCTTCGACCCCACCACGACTCTCAAGATACCTTGCTCTCCACTTAACACATATCCTTTCTTGTCGAATTCACCGAGAGAAATCAAATTTCTCTTCAGATCAGGTATATACCTGACACTAGTCAATAGCTTTATTAACTCATCATGGAACTTAAATCTTACAGATCCAATTCGTGCAATTTTGCAGGCTTTGTGGTTTCCCAACAGCACTGATCCACCATCTTGATCACATAATTCCTCAAACACATCTTTGTTTTGATTCATGTTCCAAGTACATCCTAAATCCATAATTTATTCCTTGCAAGAATTGTTGCTCGAAACTACCAGCACATCCAATGATTCATATTTATCTTGTAGAGTGGCTACATTACGATTATCCTTACCACTTTGATTATTCTATCAATCAGGGAACACCTTTGTTGTGTGGACCTTCTTCTTACAATGATAATACCTAATTGCAGAAGTATCACCGCCATAAGATTTATGTTGACCTTTACCCTTCTTCTTCTCAAACTTGTCATCTTTCTTCAAGAATTTCCCTTAACGGTCAAACCTTCACCAACAGATGATGGCTTATGCTCCTTTTGTTCATTCAAGTCCTTCTAGTATAAGGCTGATTGAGCTTCTTCAAAGGTCATGGACTCTCTTCCATACAAGAGAGTTTCTTTGAAGTGAGCATGAGACTTAGGTAAATAACACAATAATAACAACACTTAATATTCATCATCGATACTAACCTCGATATTCTCTAGATCAATAATCAGCTTGTTGAACATATCATACTGCTCAGCCAAGACTTTGTATTTACTCATTTTGAATGAATACAAAGCATGCTTCAAGTATATAAGATTTACCAAGGATTTAATCATGTACAATCCTTCGAGTTTCGTCCATACATCCACCATAGTCTCCTCCTTTGAAATACGTCGTAAAACCTTATCACCAAGGCTTAATACGATGGCGATGTGGGATTTCTCGATCATCGTCTTCTTCTTCTTCTTCTCCGTTAGAGCATAATTCATGGCTTCGACTTCCTTCAACGCTTCGAGCAAACCCTATTGAACAACAAGGACTCGCATCTTCAAGTGCCATAAACCTAAATCATTCACTCCGGTGAATTTCTCATTCTCAAACTTTGTTGACGACATCTTCCACGATCACCGCACCAGTTTGTTGTAACGGAGTGCCGTCAATAACAAACCAAAACTATGAAAAAATTGAGTTTCTCGAACAAACACAAGAAACCCTATTAGGTTTTACGAAAGGGAGAGAAGATGAAAGAAGAAGAAATTCATTATTGGAAATGTAACTATTTTAGTATTCACTTTCTCAATAAGAGTTTACAGATTACTAGTGAATAACAACAATCAACATCTCTCAACAACAACCTTTGAGAAAAAGTTTATTTATAGACTCCTAAGTAACTTAAGCTACAAGCTAACTTAAACAATTGGAATAAACAGACAGACCTAATTCGATATGCTAACAATCATAGCAATTCGACTACTGCATGCTTGAGCGTACTTCGACTACAACAAGCAATACTTCGACATGAGCCTGTGAACAAACTTTGACATCATGCTTAAACTTTGTCGAACCAAAAAGCTATCCTTATCGAGACTAGAATTCCATCCAAAATCTCACACTTCAAATACATTTTAAAGGAATTCAAGGGACATTTCAGAGATATATTTTCGAATACATATAGAAATGCATATCCAAACAATATTTTGTTTAAAATGAGGTGAATCTCATAATAGCGCATTTGTGGGTGATTTAGGAGCATATGAAGATGCATCTCCAAACAAATGAAGGACATATTTAGATTTTCAAGGGTATGGAATAGTGAAAAGAATATTTCCATTTATGATTTATGTTACTCTATAGTAGTATGCATTTTCAATTACATTTGACAAATTTAATAAGTTAAAACTAAAAATAAATATCAAATCAAATACATAAAAACGTACAAAGAAATTATAAATAAAAATACCTTAATAGTATGGAATATAAGTATTAGTATTTCTATTTGATTAAGATGTCTATAATGTCCCATACTCTCATACACTACAAATTTGATAGTGAAAGACAAATCTTTTGTATAGAGAAGAACATGAAAAATGATGCATAATGAGATAATGAAGTTCACAGTCCCTTCAAGTTATAAAATAAATAAGAGTTATTAAATATTTATTGTGCAAAAGAATTGGAAAATTTAGGATAGAAAGTGGAAGAATTGAGTGAGTATTTGAAAATGCGATGTAGAATAAATTTGATTAGGTGACATAAAAATAAAGGAGATGTAGATTAACAAAATTAGGATTCTGTTTTAATATATTATATAATAGAATAGATCATATCTTTGTAACGATCATGTTATAGTTAAGCTAAACAGTGCGGAACAGAGAAGGAATATGATGGTAAGTAATGAAATGAAATAAAATACATATCACTCTATTCCGCTCCGTTCCATCCATTTTTAAATTATCTAAACAATTGAATATCATTTTTTTACGTTCCGCTCTACTCCATCCGATTCAATCGATACTTAAAGTACCACATTAATGTCTTTAACTCTGTTAACTAACAAGAGCAAACAGATAGATTAAATTGACAAAAGTAATGCAAATGCCTAGTAGGAATTTTAGTAAAGTGAACGATATTACTAGAAATTTCAATCATTGATATTCATTCATTCACAACGGACTCTGATATGTCATTATATGCAATTTCCGCGGACATAGCAACAAAAAAGACAACCTATAATCACTTATAACCATCTCTCTTGTCTTGTTCCTCAGCTTCCTTGTTGGCTGCCTCAACAGACTTGAACCACAAGAAGGCCTATAATTGAAAATCATTAGCTCATTAACTCACAAAAAATTCAATTAAAATGCCATTTCATTCGTTTAAAAATCAATAACTATCGCATTGTCTTTTTTCGAAATGGAGAAATAATATTGATTAAATTATTGCAAGCAATAAAATGGTTTACTCAAGAAATTACCGAAGTAGGAACGCCGGTGATGGCGAAAAAACCAAGCAAAGGAGCATAAAATATACTGTCAGAACTCAAAACACCGAACACAGGCTTTTGATTCACATACTCAAATATCGAACCTATCTGTAACATCAAATTCAAATGATCATACATCACAAGTAATTAAAGCAGCATGAAATGGAAAAGTAAATCAAGAAGAAAAAAAAAAGAGAGAGAAGTTAGTTACTGCGGCAATTGCAGTGATAGCAGAGGCAAGTAAATAAACATAAAACGGAATCTCAAATCCTTGTTCCGAAGAAGAAGAGCTTCCCTTTTGTGCTTCATTTTGAGCCCATGGGGGAGGTTCACTGGAATCAGGCTTAGCCCACGACGGGATTTTTTCGTCGGATTTACTTGACTCTGTTGAGCCTTTGGTCACTGCCACCACTAGAAACCTATGCGGTGGTTTTTTCTTCGTAACAGACATACTCTGACATAGGGGAACGCCAAGAAAGGTTGTGGATTGTGATGCATGTCGGTTTTGTAAGGTAGATACTGTTGAGAGTGATGTAGAGAAGGTAGCACTTCCTGCAACTGCCATGGATGATGGTGTTTGTAGATTAGATTGTAACAGAAATTTGGCCAAAGAAATCTTATCCTATCCAAGATGGGCTTCTCTCATGTTCGTTGAATGGGCTTCAGCCCAAAGAGAGAGAGAAAAAGGATGGATATTCCCACTTTTAGGGGAGCTCTCTCATTATTGTGAAAAATCTAAATGCTCTTAGCATCTAAAGATTTATATTTGTACGCACCTTTTTTTGTGAGACTATCTGTTTAATAAAATTCAATATATTATCCCACCACATTTATTTCATATTTTTATTTTCTTTTTTATGTTTTTGTTTTTTTATTATATATTAATAATAATTATCAATTGAAATTAAATTAAAATAGTTAAGAGTTAAATAATTTTTTTTAATTTTTTTTAATTTAAAAACTTATTTTAATTTTTTTACTCTAATTTTATATTAGTAATTACAAAAAACTTAAAATGCAATACAATACACACAACACACAATACACAACACACTTAAAATGAAACACACATAACTTAATTAGTACAATAGACTCAACTCACAAACAATCTATTTAATCACGAAACATTCCAAACTTTACCCATATATGTTTGACTAGATCTGCTTGCAATTCGTGATGTACATTTGAATCACGCATCACAGATCTAGCACGCACATGATTTGCAAATGCAGGTAGTACCTCGGTCGAGAATGACTCCAATGTACCAGACCCACTTGCCTCATATTGATCATAATTTGTCCAATATTGAGAATATGTATCTCGTTCATCCTCAACAATCATATTATGCAATATGATACATGACCTCGTGATGAGAGCCAAATCGGCTATGTCCCACAAACGGGTTGGTTCGCGAATGATTTTAAATCGAGCCTGCAACACCCCAAATGCATGTTCGATGTCCTTCTGATATCCCTCATGATATTTTGCAAATAACTTATTTGGTTCACTTTGAAGAAGTCTAATTGATTTGACGAAAGTCGGATAAGAAGGGTAGATACTGTCAACAAGATAGTATGCCATATTATACAGACGTTGATTCACAAAGAAGTTCACTCTTGGAGTTTTTCCCTGTTCAACATCATCAAACACGGGTGAACAGTCTAGAACGTTTGTATCGTTCAATGTGCCCTGACATCCAAAGAAGGCATGCCAAATCTATAGATCATAAGTTACAACTGCTTCAAGAATAACAGTGGTGGTTCCCTTATCTCCCCGAGTAAATTAACCTTCTCATGCTGTAGGACAATTTTTCCATTCTCAGTGCATGCAATCAATACTCTCAATCATCTCCGGGAACCCCCGCATTTCACTAACATGTAGTATTCTTTGCAGGTCATCTTGAGTTGGGGCTCTGAGATACACTGGCTCATACAATTGTATGATTCCTTTACAGAATCTACTCAAGCACTCTAATGTTGTTGTACCTCCTATTTTAATGTATTCATCGACTGCATCGACCGCCACACCATATGCTAACATTCGCATGGCTGTGGTACATTTTGCTAATGGAGATATACCTTCTTTTTTGGTTGCGTCAACTCTTTGGGTGAAGTAGTTGTCACTGCTAGATAGTTCCCCAACGATCCTAAGGAACACATTTTTTCGCATCCGGAACCACCGACGAAACATTGCATCGTCATATGTAGGTTGGTCTGCAAAGTAGTCTTATATTAGTCTTTGGTTTGCCGCTGCATGATCTCTATTGAGATATTTTATCTTAACATTAAGTGTATATCCTTCCTCTATTTAGTTTTGTCGCTCCCTGAAACGGTTGATGATATACCTCTCTTCGATTTCAGACTGTCTTTTGTAAGCTTCGATATCAAAGGGAAATTTTGAAGGATCCATTGATGTTTTTTAGTAATATGAGATTTTTGGTATTGGTACATTAATGGAAGAATGAGTCTCCATTTATAAGATTAGTAATATCATATTTTTGGTATTGGTACATCAATAATATATAAGAAACTAAGTGATAAAATAGAAATCAGTATCTTGATAATATAGATAATAATAGACAAGAAACAAAATGACAAAATAGAAATCAATATCTTGATAATATAGATAATAGTAGACAAGAAACTAAGTGACAAAATAGAAATCAATGTCTTGATAATATAAATAATAGTAGACAAGAAACAAAATAACAAAATAGAAATCAATATCTTGATAATATAGATAATAGTAGATAAAAAATTAAGTGACAAAATAGAAATCAATGTCTTAAAATATAAATAATAGTAGACAAGTGTGATACGGTGGCAGAACCGACTGTTTAATACTGGTTTGCATTTTGCATTTTTTTGTTCGCAAAATTTTGCGGTAAGCAAGAGTCGCCACTGAATTTTATTTTATCCAACTGGAAAGGAAAAAAGCACAGAAAAATTCCTCTTTTCGAGATTTTGAGTACGGGGGTAGATTATAGAAAGGGAAGGTATTAGCACCCTTTCTATCCGTAGTTTTCTACGGGCTTTTAGGTATTTGCTCATCATTTTAAAAATTGCTTCCGTGTTTGTGTGTTTTGAAAAGTTTTTGTTTTACTTCGTTTTAACCATTGCTTTTGTCTTCAAGAGTGTTACGAAGTCGTTTTGAAAACTTTGTTTGGAAAAAGTGTAAGTGTGAAAAAAGTTTGATTTTGAGCAAGTACCTACTAGCATCCACCTATTCGAAAAAAGAATGTTTCTGTTCTTGTTTCCTTTAGACAACGCTATACCATTATTAATGAGTAGGTAGCACCGTCGTTGGAGTTGTAAGGGTCAATTCGAAAGGGACGTACGATCACTAAAGCAATGTTAGGACGTCTTAGTAATAACCCTAATGTCTTAAGATCATATTCGAGGCAACATTTCCGAGGCAACCTTTCTGAGGCAACTTTTCCGAACGGGACATTTGATCTTTGTTTAGACAAGAGGGTAACCACTAAAAAACCCTATACTTAATGATTGTTTACCGAAGGCAACCGAAGTGAGAGTATACCCTAGGAGTGCGCATGTGCGAGTGATTTGATTTCAGTTATTATCTTTGCACATTTAGGGTTTGCTAATCATTTTAAAAGTAACATACAGTATTGTCATGCAATCCTATTATCATACATCTAACAATTAATATTTGCGAAAATTAAAACGCGAGAAATAAAACTACGCTATTACAAGGCTTCGGGGAGGGGGGTTAATTACATAGCCAAAAACCCATAAAACGATAAATAAAATAAAAATCCTAATTAAACCATTACATCCCATGAGCAGTTACATTAATATTTGCAAAAAAATAATAAATGCGCGTGATGAAACGAGAACAAGAAAATTAGGGTTTTGACCCCGTCTAAACCTAGTTGAAAGAAAAATCATATTTTTGTTGTTTTTGATTATTTTGAGAAAATAAGGCTTTAATTGAGTAAATACAAACCTAAATACTAATTAATTTAATTTAAGAAAAATAATTAATTTGACCTATTTTTGCATTTTTGTTATTTTAAGAAAAGAAAATAAAAATTAAATCAAACAAACCCTAATTTTCTAATTTATTTTAAATTATTTATAAAAAGGTTAGAATTACCCTAAAATTAAATTAAACTAATTATTAAATTAAATTTGATAAAAATAAAATCTAAATCTAAATTGTTGAAAATTGATTTTATGAGTTTTGTAAAAAAGAATTAATTTTATGTTAGAAAATAATTAATCAAAATAAATTAAATAAAAGAAATAGAAAATAGAAAAGAAATTAGAATGGTCCTGGTTGTTTCAGCAGGAAAGGGGGTATAATTAGCACTTTCTGGGCCCAAATGCTAACAACCCGTTTGACTTTTCCAGATTCCATGCGCCTGCTTGACCACGCCCATGATAGGCCCTCATGTAATAGGCGTTGGATCTGGCATGCTGGAGATCTGATGGTTGAAGGATGATGGCGTATGGTGGTCTCCTTGTGTGCATATGTGCCTGATTATGTAAGAAGAAAAATTATGAAATAATATGGGGACCTGGGGATTGAACCCAACCCCTTTGGCAATTTCCCTTGTACACTGACCATTTGAGCTAGTGTGCTTTTGTGTATATGGAACAACAAATAATGATTATATGGGAAAAACAAAATAATAATTACAAAACGCGCGCAGTTTGAATAGGCGAATCAAGGAGTGCCACGCCACCCTTCTTCTTCCTCCCTCCGTTGGCAAAAGTCCAGGACTTTTACCTACGGACAAAGGGTGTAGGTATAACCCTTGTCCATTCCAAAACCTCATCCCTGCATGATAAATCAATTCTAGTGGTACCAATCAGCTTGTTGCAATCTCACGAGCATCATGGTACCACTCTTCATGGCTAATTGTTCCTGCAAGCAAAATCCCTAAAAATGAAACCTAAACCCTAATCATGGCAACTTTCTGTATGGTTAACAAAAATGCAATTAAGTATTGTCATTAGCTTGCAAATGTTTCAAGGATTCAGAATATATCCATAAAATATGCTAACAATTCCAGAATTATGAGATACGATTTCAAAAACGTATGAATGTCGTGAGATGCTTAAAGTGCGTATCTGGGCACGAAAATGCTTGCTAATGATTGGGATAGAGTCCTTGGATGCCCAGTAAACGAATGGTATGCTTGGAATGACTTGAAGAAGCCTGGAACTGAGAAAACAATTTGCAACTTTTTCTTGATTTTTTGAAAGTTGTTTCCACCTTTGCACGCCTCCAATCCCTTTGATTTTGGTCTGCCAATGTTCTATATGTACCCGAGAATGAATTAGGTTACAAACTTGCTTCAAATCTTTCTCAATTAAGATGATTGAATCATGATTTGATTCTTATGTAAATCTTTCCAAATCAAGTCAAATCCAATCTTTTTGTGTCCAAATGAAGCTTGCACGATTTGATTTCCTTTCCAGCCGTATAAGAGGCCTAAGCATGCACAAAATCTCAAGCTTTGATTAGTTTTGATATTTTCATGATTTGATTTTGATTTGATTTGATTTAATTGAATTAAAAATCAAAATAAATGACAAA